TGTTGATCCGGCGCGTGGTCGGCGCCAGGTCATTCTACATCTTAGTCATGGTAATTCAACAGTATTTGGTGGACGCTTGGAAAACGTGCTAGCGCTGTCAACTGCAGAAGAACTCCAAAAGGGTTATGAACCAAAGAGTCGAGTTTACCTGCCCGTTCAAAACTGGTTCAGTAAAGCTAATCCGGAAGTAACGCTGAATTCTGATTGGAAAATGGAGTGGACTGAAGACACCCTGGAAGAAACTACGGTTACTTTGCATTATCGAAAATCTAAGCGGCAAGCAGTAGGATGATCATGATGATGATGATCTTGGCGCTCTTCACTAGGTTGAATAATTTGTGTCGTAATTTTAGTTGCTTTCTAGTTTTTTGTCTGGTCGCAGTGTTGTGGGCGTGGTTAGTTAAGTGTGGGTGGTGTTTCCCTGCACTTTGCAGGTTGATGATGTATAAAAGGAAGGTAAAGTGTAGGTTGGAGCATTCATTAAATGTTTGTTGCGTGTAGTCTGTAAAGTGTTTTCTGAAACTGCCTGCACGCCTGGTCCACAACAAATAAAACGACTAAATCGTACGCTAGAAAAAGAAGGAGGCGAGCCAACCGGTCTGTAATTAGGCGGACAATAGTTCAGTCTGCAGTAATTGGAAAATATCGGAGACGACGACGACGGCGACGACGAAGAGGAACGCGACGATCTCGACGCCGAACGATACGCACTGGTCTTTTTCAAAAAATAACGCGTGGAAAATCACTGGCATCTATTGTTTAGAAGTAAAATGGCTTCATCTGCGAAAAGTCAAGCGACTATTGAAAAGTTTCCGGATGAGTTGCAATTATTCGGCCAGCCAGTCAGTCAATCTACCATTGAAAGCAGTCATACAATGGAGTTCTTACCCTTAAATCAGGTTGTTAATAACTCTGACGTTATTGAATTTGTAATTCCTGCCACTGAGTATTATTTGGACTTGTCAGACGTGCAGCTTTATATGCGGGCTCAAATTGTAGAAAGAGATAGTAGCAAATCCCTAGGGATAATCAAGTCCACAAACAGCACAATAGGAAGCAGCGGCGACACTCTCCCTATCGCTAACAATGACGCTGCCGCTGCAAATCTTATCAACGCTGTATCAGCAGCAGCACAGGGCGGGGTAGTTAACGCGAGTCAAAGAGCAGATGGTCAGCGGCAGCAGCATTACACCGTGGATCCGCTGCGTGACCCGGCAATTGCCCGTGTTTTAGCAGCTTTAAGCCCGCAGGAAAAGCAGGAATATATTGCGAAACTAAATGAGAAAGGAATACCGGACGCAGCCCCGGTCAACTTATTGTTTTACATGATGTTTGAAAGAGTGGAAATAGAACTTAATGGTACGCCTTTCGTCGTAAGCTACGGTAATTATGGCTACAAGGGATTTTTTAATACCCTTCTAAACTACTCCCGCGGAGTCAAGAAAAATCTGTTGAGAAATATTATGTGGTTCAAGGACGGGTTGAGTCGCATCAACCCCGAAAACAGCTTAGACAGCGTCGATTTATTGAACGGGGAAACAAATGAAGGGCTTATAGCTAGATACCGCATTACGAAAGAAGGTCGCCCTTTTGAAATGATCGGAAGAATAATGCACGAATTGTTTTACTTGGAAAATTATTTACTACCAGAGGTCTCAGTTAGAATACGCTTGTTTAAGCCAAATCCATCCTTCTACCTGATGTCGGACGATATTATGCCAAACTACTTTCTCAACATACTGGATATGCGCTTGCTAAGCCGATTTGTGAAATTATCACCTAAACTAAATGATCAAATCCAGAAGCGGCTGTCATCCCAGCCGGCCATCTATAAAATTTATTCAGCATCGGATGTTCGCACGAGAGCCATAACACCCGGCCAGCGGCTGTATACGTTTGATAATTTTTTTGGGTCGGAAAAAATTCCCAACCGAATAATATTTGCTATGGTCACTCACGAATCATATCTGGGTAGCTACCGCAAAAATCCGTTAAACTTCCAACACTTTGGTCTCGAGGAAATTAGTCTAATTGTCGACAATCAGATCCATCCGTACAAAATGGATTTTGAAAACGACCAATATGCTCTACTGTATGATGCCCTAGCATGTCAGCTGGGTAATCGACATTTTGGGTGTTCCTCAGATACTTCCATAAAAGAATTAAGATACGGCACGGTAAAGTTATTTGGCTTTATTCATTTGTATTATGGCTTTGGTATAATTGCTAAGTGAGAATCATAACAGAACTTTTCCTTTGTATTCACAGAGTATTTTCCCATTTGACCTAACGCCCAACCATAATTTTGACGACATTCCCGTTGAACGTAAACAGATGGCCAGGTTGGAACTGAAATTCTCCTCTCCGCCAAAGGAACCAATTGAATTGCTAATTTTTTATGAGCAACCGCAAATTTTCCACATCGATAAAAACAAAAAGTTTATAAACGTGCTGTGAAATTATGTTCTTTTTTAACAAGCGTGTTGTGAGAATAAAAAAAATTTGATTGCGTTTGTTCTTCTCCTTTTACTTCCTACATTACTCTCAAAACGACCGAAAGTTTTCGTGGAAATTTAATTCACTAATTTGGCAGCAGATGTTTCATTAAGTCGCAGCGTGTAACACTCAAAAAAAATTTTTATAACATTACGGAAAATTAAATCAGGACACAGATTTGCAGGTATATGAAAAATAGAGCCACACATGTTTTGACTAGACGTTACACATGACAGTGACGACGACGACGATGCGGAAGCCGATAACAATTGCTGATAAGCGTTAGATACCTTATCCAAATCGTCGATGGCTGCCGAGCGACTTTCAGCCAAACTGGGGTTACGGCTTCTAAGCATACGACGCAGGCAGTCCATTGGCTTTAAATCCAAGTAAAAGGTCACATGAGGAGTCAGATTAACTAATGGAGCTTCGATAGCGGTCATTCAATTAAGGCAATGGCCGCGCGATATTCCGTAAGCCAGGTCGGAGATAAGGTAGCGGTCTACTATTACTATATTCCCAGCAGCTAAGTCCGTGGCGATAGTCCGATTGAGAATCGCGCGGCTAGCAGCGAGGAGTAAATAATTTTGTGATAATTTGTAATGGGAGCTGGATGATAAAGCCGAACTGATTAAGCGGCAAATTGGAGAATATATTCCGGAAATCGAGGCCTCTGGTCCATGATAAGTGACCACATTGTACCCCATATCGAGCAAAAATGCGGCAAGCCGATTAGACTGCTCAGTTTTCCCAGAACAGTTAAGTCCTTCAAACACCACAAAAAACGGTTGCTGCTGTTGCATATTCGTGGGCGGTGGTGGTGGTCACGGACTGTTGACTGGTGAAGAGACCATCATATATAATAAAGAAATACGACAACTTTATAATGCTCATGGTTATGACGACATGCTTTCGAGTTAACAGTAGTACGTTTAGTCAACAGTCGTCCTCGGTCAGTCAGTGCATCTGCTGAAATCGGGGGCGTTTTATTGCCTGCGTCGTGTACTTGTCGTCAGCTAACTCCGTCTTGTTTGTTGAATTCTTAGACCGGCCGGCATCGGCCGTCACTCCGCCTCCAGGCTGGTCAATTTGCTGCTGTGACATCATATTAGTCCATTGATGTGGGCGTGCTTGATGGCGTTCAATGTGACGAGATATTTCCAAAATGATCTCGTTGTAACGAGCATGGTAGTGCGGATTGGTTTTTAAAAACTGGCGCGCCAAAACAACTTGAAAAACTGACATGGCTTTCTGGTAGATACTCCAAGTGGCTTTGCTGATGGATTTTTCGTCAGTAAATGGCTCACGCAGCTGCTTGAACCGGCGCAAAGCTTCCTCTGGATGTCCATCCGTGAAAAGCCCCGCGGGATCCAAATCTTTGCGCCCCGGTAGCAAATCGTAGGAAACGTTTGCAGGTGGCGATAGACTGGTCGTCCCGTTGCCGCTGCCGCAGCCGCCGACGCCGCATAGAATGACATCCTCCTCAGGCAGTGGTTGCAGTGCAGGCTTATCGTCGCCACGCTCCCAGTGTGCGGGGCCGGACCCGATCGCATTGCAGTTACCACTGCCGCCGCGTCTTCCATCTCCACCTGCACTTCCGATTTCCCCGTTACTGTCAGCAGAGGAGGAATGCGTGGGCAGAAAAAAATGCGCCGGCTGCAAAAACGTTCCATTCGGTGTTTGGAACAGATAATGAGTTACGGTTGGTGGTGGTGCTTGGCCCGTTAGTAGTGCTGATGATGCTGATGACGCTGGAAGGGTGATTTTCGGGTGCGACAAAGTCGCGGTCATCAAAGGTGATGGCTGAGTGGCGGGGAAGAGGGTGTGTTGTTGCTCATGAAGGCTGGCGTTAGCTGGTGGATTATATAATGGTGCGGGAGAGTTGAATAATAGTGTCGAAGAAGCCTGAGGATGGTGCTGCTGCTGCTGCTGCCGCGTAAGCCCGTTAAGGGAGTGAGTCGGCTGCGACGGCGGTGGCGGGAGTGGCTGCTGCTGCTTCTGAAAATGTTGCGCTAGGTGAACCTGGTGCTTCCATGGAGACGGCATGATGAGAGAGTGATCGTTGCTGACAAGGCTGGTAGAAAAACTGTTGCTCTGTGACCGCGGGTCGTTGCGTGGTGCCGGAGGAGAAATATTCTGCAGAAGCTGTGCAAGAATATCGGCCGGGCAATCCTCACTATCCTCTGCGCCGAAGGAGTGCGGCTGTGACTGCTGCTGAAATCCTGAAAGTTATGCAAAACTCAGTATAATAGAGAAAAAAACATGCAAAAGTAAATCTTCAAAATTGATTTCCGCATTCTAGGTAATAGAATCAATTCAACGTTCTATCAATCTAACCGTCTTTCGGAGCCGGCTGTTCATGAGTGGCTAGACATCGAGCCATGACTTGATGAGGAAGCTCCTGTTGTTGCTGTTGCAAAAAGGTCACATTCGGCGGTGGCGTCGAAGACGGAGCAAAAGTATATGCAAAACTGTTTGCCAATGGTTGGGTAGAGCTGGCCATCATGGTCATATCTGAACAGTTAAATGACGCCATTAGCATGATTTACGGTAAGATAAATGCGACTTACACTCGTGGATGTGCCGGCTGAGTAAAAAGTGAACTGGCAAGTAGAAAAGGGATCGTTTAATTTACCATCAGTTTATATGCTGACCTAGGCGGCAGCAGCAACAATAACGCCCCTTTGAAATGCTGCTGCATTAAGGCGGAGTTTAGTGCAGCAGATCCGACCCCGTGATCCCCAAGGGATGCTACTACCGTGACAGTATAACAACCGTTTAGCGCTGCTGCTGTTTTGATTGGCTATATATATGTATGCTCAGTGACAAAAGCAGCGCGCAGCCGATGCAGCATTAATTATGATGACAAACTCAAATTCAGCCACCTGCTCCAATGACCAATCAGCAGTCACCTACAACGCGAAGGAGCCATGTAAAATTAACTGTACTGCTAGTAATACTATGATAATTACGAAAACCGAGCCGATATTAGAATCTTCATGGAAACGGTTCATCATTTTTCCAATTGAAATTGACGAAGCCTGGTTTATGTATAGAAAAGCTGTAGCTTGTTTTTGGACACCGGAAGAAATAAATTTTGCCCATGACGTTCGTCAATGGCCTACGTTGAGCGAGTACGAGAAATCCTTGCTGGGAAACGTATTAGCATTTTTTGCCGCTTCAGACGGCATTATTATGGAAAATCTCGCTGAAAATTTTCTCATTGAATGCCAATGTCCGGAAATACGTGCTTTCTACACTTTTCAGATATTCATGGAAAATATTCATAGCGAGACATACTCTCTGCTAATAAATACGTACTATCAAGATACGGAAGACGCCTGCAGCTGCTTCAGGCTGTAATTAACGACAATAATGTAAAGGAAAAAGCTGATTGGGCAGCCCGTTACATAAGAGAAGTTGGCCAGCGCCCGTTTCCCGAAAGACTGTTGGCTTTTGCGTGTGTCGAAATGATATTTTTTTGCGGTGCCTTTGCAGTGGTCTTCTGGTTCAAAAACCGCGGCATCTTGCCAGGATTAACATTTAGTAATGAACTAATTGCCAGGGACGAATCACAGCATGTTGAATTTGCCTGTTGGCTATATGGACAGTTGAACAACAAGCTGTCCACCGAAGCTGTATACGCCATAGTCGAGGAAGCAGTAGAAATTGAAAGCCGGTTTTGGGATGACGCATTTGCTCATCCTTTACGCGGTCTAAACGCCGTTCTCATGAAGAATTATGTCCGCTTTGTCGCAGACGTCCTACTGAAGATGCTCGGCTTGGAACCACTCTTCAACACCCCTAACCCTCTGCCCTATATGGAAAACATCTCCTTAGAAGGAAAAAGCAATTTCTTCGAAAGAAGGGTTTCGGAATATAAGAGAGCGCACGTTGGAAAACACCAAGAACGGCAACAGCTAGCCTTTAGTACTAACGAGGAGTTCTAATAATAATTAATTCTAGAATTCCAAACTAAATTTGTGAGGTGTCAACGGTCAGTCAATGTTGTGTCAGTAATATTTTAATAAAGTCGTCTAATTACACAATTACACCATCAGTAGTATTAGCCAGTCACAAATACTTCTTAAACCACCACTTAGCAAAAAAAGGCCACACATCGTAGCAGTGTTTCCGACCGTGACTCCGCTTTTTTAAATAATCCGGGCTTTCAATTTCCTCCCACCGCCCGATCCAGGTACAGCCTGGGTGGGCGCATTGGATCTGGTTGGTGGGGTAGAAATCATGCAGTATCAGAAAATCAATGTCAAAGCTCTTCGGAATTTCCATAAAGGTGCTTAGCCTCTTTTCGAATGTCCGGCGCCGTGTGCTTTGCCATTCAATAGAGCAAGTGTTCAGCATTGTATAAGGTTTTATGTCCTGACATTCGCGCTCTGAATGATGGATGATGGCATCCGTCTGCCTCCAGTAGAACACTTTTTTGCAATGTGAGCACTTTACGGTGCCTCGAAAATTATAGCCCATGGCGGCTAATAAATAGCGCTGTCCAACAGGTACGCTCTTCATCACTTCGTACTGTTGTCGCATAAGCGCGGTTTCTGGAGAGTGTAAGAGAGGTGTATCTTCGTTGTCGTCGTTGTCGTCGTCGTAATTGTTAATGTCACCTGCGGGACGACGTTCATTAGAGACACGATTAAGAAGATTAGGTGAACCGTAGCTGCCATATGCGGCGTTGCAGTTTTTCTTATAGGCGGCGTCCATGGTAAATATACGTAAGTTAGCGAGCGAGGGAAGGTGCTGCAAGTGAAAAGTGTAAATTAATCTCACAAACATAACAATTTTATATGTATGCCTTTCACTGTGGGGAGGGCAGAAGAGGCGGAAAAAGAAAATCCGATTAACTAGGCTCCGCCGCGGGGTTGAACTAATGGGCGGTAGGCGATCCCTGGGCGGACCTAACATTATGACCAGTCGTCCTCTCGTAGATACTGCTGCGGGTATAAAAGCTGAGGTCATGTAATTTGCACATTACTGCACGCACATCTGTGCAAGCGTTGAAGGGGCGATGTTAGTCGCATCAACATTCCTGCCTACTGCTGTCACAGGCCGCTTTTGGATATCAGATATTTCTTTACATTTTATCAGAAAATATTTCTCCAATTATCAAAAGCACACCCGGCGCCTTTTATTCAGCAACAGCAACAGCTTTCTACTTACTTTTTATTTGTGTAACAATGCCTCGGCTGCGGAAAGTGAGCATCAGCGGAGTTCGGCAGCAAGAGCCGCCGCAACCGTCAACATCGACTGCGGCAGCGGCGACAAAGAACGCCAACCGGACACAACAACAGCAAAAGCAGCAGCAGCAGCAACAGATATCCGAAGCAAAATTGGCGAGGCTATACGAGAAGCTGAAAACTGTTCAAGTTGTTTCACAGTTATATCGTCAAACGCGGCATATTTCTTTTTCCTACAAGTTATTTATGCGGCGCACACAGGAACTAACAGAGACACAAAATGACAGGCAAGATAATGCTTCCGCAGCTCATCATCCATAAATTCAGTTATCCAAAAACCATCATTATTCTACGATCTCAAAGGCATCACATCACGCCATAGTAAAAAATACGGCGTTTGGGCTGGAAACTTTCAGATAAAAATAAAAGAGCTGCCGTTTCATGGTGTTGATACTGTACTTCCAGTTTTTCTGTCAATTCTCGAAGATATTTTTAAAAAGTTGCGCAGCTATGTGCCGAATAAAGAAGATCTTATCAGTATTTCTTTGGAATCTACTCAGCTATCGCATCCAGTCCAGCTCAAATTAGCTTCGCAAGACCAGGTGAATGCTAAAATGTTCTTATATTTAATCGCAAATACACTAACATCCAAAACGGAGTTTTCTTTGAATTTTCCGGTCTTTATTAATTTGCTGCGCATCCCAAAGCAACCAGCGGGAAAAGGAATAGCCAAGCGAAAAAATGACCGCCATTTCAGAAACCTCATAAGAGCACCGCGGGGTGGCGGCATCATCAACGTAAAAAACAGCGACAGCTTATGTTTTGGGCGAGCACTTGCCATTGCCATAGCGCACGCATCTAAGCTTCATAAAACCGATGCTAGAAAATGGAAAGAGTTATGCGATTGTCGCCGGCAGCTGCAAAAAGTTGAAGCAATTAAACTGTACCAACTGGCAGGCGTCTCACCTGGCCTTGTTTCATACAGCTACTACGCTACCTTTGCCCAATCGCTCTACCCAAATTACACTTTGTCCATATATAAATCGCCTGATCCAGAGAGTGGATTACTATATAGCGGAATTTCTAACCACCGCGAAATCTCCACCACTACAAACACCCCCGCTACTAACAGTAAAAGCTTGCTTATTCTGCTGTCAAATGAGCATTATGCGGCCATCACGAAACACGCGCGGTTTTTTGGAAAGAGAAAGCAGTGCGACGGATGTGGCGGGTTTTTTAATAGACTTGGCAGCGCAGATCATCGCTGTAGAAAGGCATGCTTTAATTGCCAAAGAAAAGACTGCTGGTTTGAAAATAAGATTACTTGCCGCGAATGCAGGAGGACTTTCAAGAATGCAGAGTGTTTCCGCATTCACAAATTATCGAGGAAGCCGCTGCATGCAGCGGGCGGACTTTCGACGGAAACAGAAAAAACAGATTGCGAGTTGCGGCAAAGGTGCCCTGACTGTGGAATTATCATCCACACGGACAAGGCGCGCCATCCGTCAAACTCTGTTCATCAATGCGGTGAGTACTATTGCCGGAGCTGCAAATTAAAAGTAGATCCCGTGCATCGATGTTTCGTGCAAGTCCATGAGAACGAACCGAAACCCGATCGCCCTTTCTTGTACTGCGATTTTGAAAGTGACATAAGTAAAGAATACCACACGCCAATCGCTGCTGTCGCTGTGAACGACACTGGACTCGCGACGCGTTTCTTTGGAAAAAACGCCGGTGCAAGGTTTTGTGATTGGCTCTTTCATCCTCGCCATCGCAATCACATTGTTATCTTCCACAACCTAATGGGTTATGACGGCAATTTCATCATGCAGCACCTGCACCGTAGACATATATGGCCCCAGGTTATTATGCGCGGACTAAAATTCCTCCAAATAAAGGAGACAGCAAATAATATTGTACTGAGAGATTCCCTTGCATTTCTGCCAATGAGCTTAGCGGAGATGCCGGCTGCTTTCGGTTTTTGCGCTGCCAAAGGGTGTTTTCCTTTTTTTGCTTGCCAAGAGAATTTTAATTATTCCGGTAGTATTCCCGAGGAGAGTTATTTTCTTACCAGCCAGATGAAAGAAAAACATTACGCTGTATGCAAAAAGTGGTACGATGAGGAAACCGCCTCTGGCAAAGTGTGGAATTTCTCTAAAGAGATTCTGAAATATTGTGAAAACGACTGTCAGGTTCTGCGAGAGGCCTGCCAAAAATTTTGCGAAAGTATGAAAACTCTATGCCACGGATACAACCCATTAGTGGAGTCCGTTTCCTTGCCTAGCTTTGTTAATCTCGTTTACAGAGCTAAATTTATGCCAAAAAACAGCATTCAGTACTTTACATTTCGAGATCTGCAGACGCATCGAAATTATTCCTTTGAGAGTATCCAGTGGCTTCACTATGTTGCCCACACGGAATGCATCGTCATTCGTCATGCTCGAAATCATCCAGACGGAGAAAAGCAAATTGGACGCTATATGGTGGATGGATTTTGCGAAATGACCCAGACTGTTTTCGAATACCACGGGTGTTATTTCCACGGGTAATATCACTGCCTGGCGGCTTCCGGTTACCTAAATTAACAAATTCTTTTACAGGTGTCCCAAATGCTACACAGGAGACACGGTAACGTTTGGCAACCAAAACATGGCCCAGCTGCTACAGGCTACGAAGCACAAACAGCGCTACCTTGAAACCCAAGGTTATACTTATCGCTATATCTGGAGTTAGGAATGGAATGCAGTTAGGAAAACAAAGGGCCCGGACGAGCAGGTTACAAATGCCCTGCGAAACTTCTTGCATGTGAAACCTATGAATATACGCAATGTGCTGTTTGGTGGGCGGACGGAAGCATTTCGGCTCCTAACCGTCCCTGACACTAGCCAAGGTCAATATATATCTTACCTCGATAAAAATTCCCTCTATCCAGCTGTCTGCAAACAGAAAGAATATCCGCTTGGTCTTCCGGAGAGAATTCTCAGCGACTTCAAACCTCTCGACCAGTATTTTCGAATTGTGCATGCGAGAGTTTTGCCGCCGAAAGATTTGCCTTTACCGCTGTTACCGCAACGTATTAACGGAAAGTGTATGTTTACTCTGTGTTGGCGATGTGCGCAGCTTAACAATCAGCATACCCCATGCACGCATTCTGACAGCGAACGCAGTTACAACGGAGTTTATACTACACCGGAAATTACACTAGCGCTTGCTCTTGGATATCACGTGCTTGCGATACATGAAGTCTGGCATTACCCGAAAAAGGGAGATCTTTTTGCTGATTATATAAGCACTTTTATGGCCGAAAAAGCCGCAGCCAGTGGATACCCCATAACCTGTCAATCCGACACGGACAAAACGGCATACCTGCGGACTTTAAAAGACAGGGATAATGTTACTGTCAACCCGGAGAAAGTGGAATACAATCCTACGCGGCGTCTCTTATCGAAACTAATGCTGAATACGTTATGGGGTCGCCTGGCGATAAAGGAAAATAAGCCCACATTTGAATACGTCAAAAGCGTCAAGCGGTTCAATGAACTGTTCTACTCAGGAGCCTACACCGTGAATTATATCGATGTAGTAAACGAGGATGTTCTGTAGGTACAAAGTACAAGAGCCAACGACCTGGACGCAACGGATTTACGGGCTAACGTTATCGTAGCGGGTTTCGTCACTAGCTACGCACGACTGGAGCTTTACGCTGGTATGACTTTTGTTGGCATAGAGCGGCTGCTTTATGTTGACACCGATTG